GAGGCCCGGAGGCGCGGGGTGGGCGCTATTTGGGGAAGCTTGCGCGGTGCCTGCCGAGCTATATTTAACGGGGGCAGATACCCGTGACAGCCGTTCACGAACTGTAAATGAGCTCAGCGCTAGCAGGGGATCAGCCCGTGCGAGGCTCGTCGCGGAGGGTCTCCTGGGGGGATCGTGTGGCGCGCCCCCGCCAGCTGCGAGGAGGGCCGCGGGAGGCCCGCGCCTCCCCGGGGGCCGGGTGGCCGCCTGGTGGTCACGACGCGAGAGGGGAGTCGCCGCGTCCCACCGCTGGCCAGAAGGGCACTTCAGGGGTGGGTGCCAGCCGGTGTAGGAGCCCAGTCCAAATATCGGGGGGTGGTCGTGAGGAAGAGTGGCCGTTAAATAGGAAGTATCCTCCGAGCATATTTGGTGGGAGACGAGTCGGCCCTGGGCGTCGTCATAAAAGCTCTGACCTTTTTCTTAGCTGAATCTAAAGAGCTCAGTGTGAGCTACTAGGGAAACAGTTAGGGTATTATGTGGTTTCACAGATGTACGTTATGCAGAACTGTGGGTTTTAAGCTTGAAAGTTCGGTAGAAGCACATCTGTCAAAACATATTCTAATGCTTTAGGATACGTTCATTTTCATACGTGAACAAAGAAGAGTTTATTGAACCTGTTCCCCTCTCCAACAGAGCACAACAAAAAGCTAGTGTCATGCTGATGAAAGAGGGTACAGGTATAATCACTACTTTCAGACCACTGGGTTATGTTTCATTCCAGTTTTCCTCTCCGTCTTCTAGTTAAAAGTCTATGACAGTCGTACCTTCCATGCTTTGTTTGCTTTTAGTGGTCAGACAGAATGGCTCCAGTGAACCAGCCAAAGGACAAGAAGCATGAGAGGGCACGTGAGCATTGGCCGGAAGATGCAAAATCAGCTGGGAAGAGGAAACCGGACTGCAAGGAACTAGGGAATGAGCCACTAGCAAAGAAGTTGTTTCTGAGAAAAACATCCAAACCCCCAGAGAAAATCGGTAACATCTGCTCAGATCCTTACTGTTTCTCCCAACCAGATTTACCCTAAATGACAGGCATCGACTAGTTGAAGAGGGAGCATGCCAAGAAGCGTGTTGAGACATGGGTGTTCAGATGGGGTTATATACTGAAGTGATACACAGACACGTATTGGGGTAGTACATCCTCCAATTATCTTGCTAGTGAGTGTGCGTGTGCGCATGCATGCACATTTCATTTTGAGACTCTGAACCCCGTGGTAGAAGCCTGCTTACTGAGGACGCTGTCACAGCTCATTTGAGGGTGGTTAAGTTTTGTGGAATTCCTGAATTACCAGATGTCTGCTTTATTGTAGGACAGACCAATCTCAGTCATACATTCTTTTTTTGTCCCATGCAATTCTTAATACAGTTTCATAGTCGTAAGGTTGGTATCCTACAGCATGCAGTCTGAACTGGCATTTCCACCCAGTTCCTTGCATATTATAACTTCTGCTACAGTAAGTAGGAATACTTTCTACCTGGATGTTCAGATTAGACTGGACAGAATTTCCACTAATCACTTCTCCTCACGTGCATTTTTTTTCCTTTAGTATGTAACCTAAAAAAAAAAATCTCATGGAGATTTTTGATATAATGAGAGAGGTGATTAAGTTCTAGGATACTGAAAAGGTTAATGCTTTGCATTATCAAGAAAGTTCTGTAGGCTTCAGCTACAGTAAGGACTATTTTCATAGAATCATAGAATCATTTAGGTTGGAAAAGACCTTTAAGATCATTGAGTCCAACCGTTAACCTAACACTACCAAGTCCACCACTAAACCATGTCCCTAAGTGCCACGTCTACCTGTCATTTACTTACCTCCAGGGATGGTGACTCAACCCCTTCCCTGGGCAGCCTGTTCCAGTGCTTGATAACCCTTTTGGTGAAGAAATTTTTCCTAATATCAAATCTAAACCTCCCCTGGCGCAGCTTGAGGCCGTTTCCTCTCGTCCTATTGCTTGTTACTAGGGAGAAGAGACCGACCCCCACCTTGCTACAACCTCCTTTCAGGTAGTTGTAGAGAGCAATAAGGTCTCCCCTCAGCCTCCTTTTCTCAGATAAAACTGTTAATTCCATTGTTTGTTTAGGAGATCACTAGAGTTACTGACTTGTGCGGAAATACTGCACACTTTCTGTACAATTTTGGCTTAAGGATCCAGATATTAACAAAGCGTTTTTCAACAGCCAGAGCAACAGGAGTTCCACGATTTTGTACGTTTCCGTTGTCTGGTGTGTAACTCCAAACTTGGAGCAGTTGGCAGTGTGATCAGCCGACACAAAGGCAAAATACTCTGTTTGAAAGGAGTTCTGTGTATAGTTCTATGTAGCTATATGTTTTGGAAAAAATTCTTTTTTCTCCTGAGCCATATAGGACAGGTTCAGTTTCTTGCAATTGAAACACCTTTAAAAAGAGTTTCTTCCAGCAGATTCTAAAAAGGCCTAAAGTTTGTTTCTTAATAAATTAGCCTTTGTAATAAAATGGATTTTGGAAAAAATGCCTCCATTTCCGTCACCTCTGAAGAAGGAACTGTGAAAAAAATGAATTTTTCTGTGAAAAAAAGGAATTTGATTATAAATACTTTCTTACCTATTTCAACAGGCGTGACAAGTGTTGGCACAATTTTGGCATGTGAACAAAGAAATTTAGTTTCACACCCGTGCATTTCTAGGCGCCAGTGTTGCATTAAAGAAAGATTTTGTTTAGGTTCTGATCATACAGAATGATCACTATGTTTTCAGTCGTCTTTTTTTTTTTTTTGTCATTATCCTTAAATGAAAATAGCATTTTTGTTTCTTAAGAAATGCTTCTTTCCCGTTTGACATCTAGATCCCCTGGAGTATTCCAGACCATTGCCATGAGGATGGTTAGATCACAGACATGGGACTGAACAGATCTGGTTTTTATATAAAGGTCCCTGAAGATAAAAACTTGGAACATGAACAAAATGTAGAAGCGTGCTGTACTCTCAGCAAAAATCACTCCGAACAGAAAGGTTTTCAGGCGATGAGGCGTCAGCAAGTCTATTATCAAAAACAAAACTCGCACTGCTGTAGGCAGACCATACGGGCTACAGCACAAGCAGATCGAAAATTCTGATTCACAAGCAGGCATTTCAGGAACTGTGTGGGAACTCATGTTGCTATGCCTGGGGAATTTTCAGGTGTTAACGTTCCTGCTGGTCACACGTCTGACCTTCCCTTGCTGTACCCAGGGGCTTACCGCCTCCCATGGCGTATTTCCAAGTTGTTGGGGCTTTGGATAGCTTCGTTGTATTTTGGGTATGAACTGTTCAAGTTGTATACTGTCCAAGAGATGCACCACATGTGGCTTTGCTTTAGTCCTCTCCTCTTGTCTTTTTGATAAATTTTTGGCAAGGAGAAGGAAGGTTTAACAAGAGGAAGCATACACAAAGCTCTGGCAGGCTGTGGGAAGCACTGGACTCCATAATTGCAGAAGCTGCTGCACCTTAGAGATGTAAGAATCATTTAGAGAGTTTTCTCTTGTGACTGAAACTTTTCATGGATTTAGCAGCAAATGCAGATGTCTTCCCATGTTTTTTATTGAATGAGCATGACAGGTGTTGGCTCTCAGTAAGTTTTACGCTTTTCCTCTGTGGCAGGTTGGAACGGAGGTGGGTCCATGGTGAGAAACAACAAAGTCCTTTTCCATCAGCTGGAGCGGCAGCGCAGCATTGTTCATTATGTCTACCAGAACATGCTGGGAGGCTCCATTCGGGCACAGCTCAGGCAGGTGAGGAGTTTCTCCTTCGTGACCTGTTGGACATCTTGGCTCCCTACATAGAAACATCACGAACACACACACAGGGAAACTTTAAAGGGGCTTGAAGTTCCTCACATACGCAATTTGTGGCTCCAAGTCTGGAGCACCCTTATGTTTCTTAATCCTGTAAAATGCAAGAGCTGAGGTGGCTTTCCCTTTCGGTTGACCTGGCCCGGTCACTCTACATTTTCTCCCTCTGTTAATTCTGTGCTTCCTTGAATCATATTTAAACTTACCCGCTCTACCATTTGAGTTATTGCACAGTGCTACTTTTGCACAGTAATCTGACTGTTTTGTCATACTATTTTTGTATGCACTCTACTTTGCTAATCATGTCAGGTTTAGTGTTGATTTTTCCTCTTCACAGACATATTCCATCAAGTCCATAATGTTTTACTGTTTTCAGAGCCATATTCCTTCTTTCATTTGAAAATTAACTTCTTCTGTAACATCCATAGGTGGGGAGCACCTGGGCTAGCTTTATCTTCCGTATGTTCTATCTTTTTTAAGTATCCAAATGATAAGTAAATCGCCAAGCTCGTCCAAGCAGTACCTGTTCCTCAGCTGAATAACAACACAATCATGTCATGGTTTTTCGCTTACTGTTTCTGTTCACTCTTACGCTGTATAGTTGAGCTGCAGGCAAGACCATAATATTGTATGTCTGGATGATGTGTAGCATTTTGGGATGCTCAGTGAAGACATAGTCAGTCATAAGTGCCTTTTACTGGTGTAGGAGGCATGTTCTCCTTCCTTGTAAATGTTAATTATCCTGCCTTTTTAGCTCAGCCCATGAGGCTTAACTCCCTGTGCATCATTTAAAGTATGGTATCTCTCAGTTCTCTGCTGCTTTCCGAGTGCTGTGGCTGATGTGGATTTCTGTGGTCACAGGCTGTTTCCCTCGGGGACAGCATGTTCTCTTCATTCTACAGAGAGGCTTAGAATTTTGTGTGAATGTACTAACTCTGATGCCAATTAGAAATTGTTAGCACTCCTCATTCAGAGAATCTCATGAATCCCTGCAAAAGTCATAATTCTCTTTTATCTTTTTAACAGTGTTTGCAGCTGCCTTTTCTGCGTTCTCTTGCCTCATACCGCCTCTTTCGAACAGCAAGTCCCTTTGACAGGAGAGTGACATGCCTGGAATGGCATCCGACACACCCCAGTACTGTAGCTGTTGGTTCCAAAGGTGGAGACATCATCCTTTGGGACTATGAAGTACTTACTAAAACCTGCTTCATAAAAGGGGTAAGCCTCTGGGTGTGTGGAACGGGTGGGAGGGGAAATTGGAGTACCACCAAATACTGCAGATCAAAACTGAGGTCTGTTGTGAGAAGCATGTAAGAATCTGGGGTTGCAGAGCAGCCAGCTATGGGGCAGCACTGAGATGCAACAGCATGTCTGTTCCTAAGTCCCAGACTGTAGTAGTGCTGGGGAGAACCGAGGCATGTTGATTAAGCTCATAATGAAGCAGTACTTGGTGCGTGCTCAGTGGAAAAATAATTCATCAACTGGCAAAAGAGTTATCTTAAAGGGATGCCAGAAACAAGTAGGCAGAGAGGGTTTGTCTGGTTTAGGTCTTGATCTTTCTCTGCTCGCCTTTTACTCTGTGTCAGATGAGGAAATATCTTTTGAGTGGGGAGAAACAAAGTCCCTTTATCTGAAGTGAGAAGCTAAGGTAGAATGAATGGTTTATACAGCTGGCATGCCCCCTCATTGCTGTATTCAGCCATTCCCATTCCGACAGGGGCTCAAAGACTCTAACTTTTGTCCCCTTTCTAAATTAACATAGGTATACACTGGGAGGAGGTCTATCCTCCAGAAATTCCAGGGTCATCTTTCTCTATTTGTAAATAGCGTGGTGCCAGCCAGCCAGGGAATACATTGCCTGGGGACTCGATGAGTTGCAGTTTTGTCCTCCAGGAGGGCAGCTGCTTAAGCAGACATCATGTGGGAAGACACGGTTGTCTTTGCCTCCTTGAAGGGCTGTGGTGTGTTTCACTGTTGCTATTAAGGACATAGCAGTGAATGCAGACTTACAGAACACACTTTTCTCCTTCCCCATCACTCAGTGGATTTTTCTTTTGTTCATCCCCTTCCTTGTAGATGGGAGCTGGAGGGGCCATCACAGGAATGAAGTTTAACCCTTTTAACCCTAGTCAGCTGTACACTTCGTCAGTTGCCGGCACTACCACCCTGCAGGATTTTAATGGCAATACTGTCCGGGTCTTCACCAGCACCGAGGACTGGGAGTAAGAAATACAGCAATGCTTTGGGGCCTCTGTGTCCTGCTGGCAGGAGCGCTAGAGAGAGAGAGAGAGAGAGAGAGAGAGAGAGAGAGATATGTTTGTCTCTAATATGTGGGAGTTGGGCTTCCTCTTCTCCACATACATGTCCTTTGTCCTCTAAATTTCAGGGATCCTCTCTCTTCCAGGGAGGCTCACTCTCCCTTTTTATTTTTCCCTGAAATGGGGTGGTGGGTAGGAGAGAGCTTTTCCTCATGAAGGGGAGGGACTCCCTGATGCTGCTTACTTCCTGTTGTACATGGGAGAGCGTGGGGGTGCCAGTGCATTTCCTCAGCTGTCTGTTCTTAAACCTCCTGTAGTTCTGTGCCCTGGGGACCTTCTAGCCTCTTCACCTGTTAGCAGTGCTCCTCGTTGTCAGATGGTTTTTACAGGACAATCTATAGTCCCCTCAGTGCTTCTCCACAAACACCACTGACTTCAAGTGGTGTGTGTCATAAGGATCACCCCAATTCATCCCACCTAACTTTTGGTGCTTATCTAAAAAACCAAAATTAAAGAGTCTGGGCTCCTTCAGTAATGAGTGGAAAGAGGACATGAATTGCTAGAGGCTACTCTGTCTGGCTGTGCTTAGAATCGCCCTCTCAGACTGTTGCTTTTTCTGTGGACTCGTGAGGAAGCCTGAGCTCTTCAATTAGTTACTTCAGTTCAGTGCTTAAAGGTAAGTGAGGGAATTTGGCTTAGCCTCCTCTTTACTTTTCCCCACCTAATTCTTTCCGGGTGGCAACTTTCATGGTTGGTTTCCAAATCGGCTGTTCCAGCTGCAACCTTGTAATAGGCCAGAAGGTGAACCCAAGTAGTGCTGGGATGACTGGCCAGGTGAGCAAGGAGGGACAGACTGGGTCCTGGGACCTGAGGATCTTGTAGCCCAGTGGGATGCATGTCTCAGCAATGATGCCTGGATGTGAAAGGGCATGCCATCCTCCTCCTACTGCTGTGAGGACAGGCAAGCTCTATGGGCAGGCCTTTTTTTATCTTCGTTGCCTTCTTGAAATCTAGTATTTGCAGTGAGACTTTATTAAGTAGTTGCTCTGTGAGCAGGAGATGGAGTGCACTTGAGTATCGCAGAGTTTGGGGACTCTCAGCTAGCATTCTTCTTTTCTGTCTTTGTGTAGGGTTTCCAGATTTCCTCAGTAGACAGATTGGGGGAAAACAACATAACAGCAATATAACATAACACAGAACATCAGATTCCCGTGCCATGGGGTTAGCAGTAGGATTTCTCCTTGCACCGCTGTCATCCTGCCTGCTAGTACCTTGAGAAAGACCAGATGCAGCACTGGAAGCAGCCTGTAGGGAACTGGTGAATGAAGTCTCTGTAAGAAAAGCTTGGTGCAGGGCTGTCATGAGATTTTATGTGGTTTCTGCATGGAATGGTGCTGGTTTTGCTTGTGATCTCCTAAGCCTGGTCTGAGCAAGGTGGTTCACTGCAGATTAGTCCTAGCTCCATAGCAGAAGGAGCAATGCTGCTAATGAGGCTTGCAGCCCGAAGTGGTGGGGTTGAACTTACAGGTTCAAAATGTATGTGCTCAGATTGGAAACAGATTGGAAAAAAAGAGTTCTTATGTACGTGCCCTGTCAAAAAGCAGTGCATTGCACCTAGGGAAACTGGCAGTGTGTTCTAGGAGATGAGTGTTGTATTAAGATTTTTGTCTTTCACTCTAACCTTGACGCCTCTTGGCTTTGTGTGTATTCCAGAAAGGGCCAGGAGATTCTCTCGGAGACATCAAGTTCAGTCCTTATGAGGCAGTGAAGCTTTATGTGGCATCAGGGGATGGCACCCTAAGTCTGCAGGACCTTGAGGGCAGAGCGGTGCAGGTGATCTCCCGTGCCCCGGACTGTGGCCATGAGTACCATAATGTTTGGTGAGAAGGGAGCAGTGCACGGTTGATTCTCTGTTCCTTGGGGTTAATGCTGCGCTGCTTCTTGTGCTCTCTAACATCTTCATCTTTGCCAGTGTTAGGAGACTCTTGGTATGAATTGGTCCTGTGAGGGAGCTTGGAGACAGGCTCCTGCTCGCGACCCTAGCGCTGCAGGGTGGGTGACAAGCTAGGCAGCCACAGGGCACTTACGCTTGTACAGTAGCTGAGCGTGCTGCCTGCATCTTCTGGCGTTGCTTTCTGGTGACGCCATCTCCTGTTTTGCAGATACTGGCAGCTTTTCACTTTATAAAGCGTGAGGTGAGAAGAGCAGGATAACTTCCTCCTCTTCATTGTCATCAGTGTTCTGTGTGTTTTGTCTGTAGCAGCCTATGTAGCATAGGAAAGCCACAAAACATTCCTGCACAATTTGTGTTTCAGCTTATTGAGTTTTCCCTGCTGCCCTGCTGGAGGCTTCAGGCTCACCATGCTAATTTCCATGACCTTGAATTCTAGAATAATTCATCTTTGCAAGTGAAGCTTTCCCAGCAGGTTCCCAAAGGACCCCGGCTTTATTCTCGCTGCCCTTCCCCTCCCAGCAGAGCTGGGGTTAAGATGTATGTCTTTATCAGATAAGTCTCTATTCAGTTTTGTTTCCTGGAGCATGAAGTTGAGACAATTTGATGTGCAGCTTTCCAGTCCAAAGCTTTTGTCTTTTCTTTACTGCTGCTTCAGTGTTTTGTGGAAAATGTCATTTTAAAGCTGTTTCTCTACATTTGTCAATGTCACAAGGGTGTTCTGATCTTTCCCAAGGTGTGTCCGTGTGCAGGCACCAAGTGGCTTTTCAGCCTCTATTATGTTCCACTTTCCCAACGTGTCACACTCCATCTAGTGAGCACTTCACAGATGACGAGGAAGTTCATATTCAGTCACCAACAGGAAGCACTGCTGATAAGCCGTCCCCCTTCCTGATACTCAGGCCCACACCATCAGGCAGGAGATTGCAGTTACAATCTGTTGCAGTCTCCCTTGTCAGGGAAGAGATGGGAACCAGAGTTCCGCTGCCTTCACTTGCCTGTGGGAGGCAGCGCTGATTTTGTGTCTTTCCCTCTAGTTGCTGGTACTGCAGTGTTGATGTTTCTGCAAGCTGCCGTGCAGTGGTGACGGGTGATAATGTGGGCAACGTGGTCCTGCTCAGCACTTCTGGTGAAGAGGTTTGTATGGCTCCATGCAGTGTCTCCTCTACAGGAATCTTCATGGCTCATGCGCTTTCCTACACTACAGGGACCCTGAAAAGAGGAGCAAGTACCTTGCAGCTCAGGAGATGAGTCCACCCATTGTCTAGGTGGTGAGAAGTCCTCCACTTCTGCCATTCATTAGACATTTTCGCATTGCTGAGCATAATGGTAACAGTTCCCAAACAGGGCCTGTGTTGTGTGCTACCCCTTCCTTAAGAGTATTTGCTACTGGCCAGAGTAATTATAGGGTAACCTGAAGATGTGAGCACCCTCTGCCAACGACCTTCACACTCCCAGAAACTTAGTGCACTGATGGGAGTCATTTAGGAGATCCTGTTTTGATGTATACCCTTCTGTGACCTTGGAGGAGGTACACAACAGTAATCGACGAATGTTGGGATAGAAATTGCACTACTGCCATGAGACAGGAGAGGGCAGGCAGAGGCAGACTGTGCCTTCGAGTCTGAAGTAGTGCAAAAACATTAGAGAATAGTTGGAGCGGGCCCTGCTTTCAAGAGCCTGCTCTACCGTCACACTGGAATTACCGTTTCTCCTGCCTGTAAGGGTAACATCTGTGAGCGTTTGCCACCCAATGAGCTGTGTCCAGAGGCAGCTGTGTAAATTAGCGGGCAGAGTCAGGAATGCTCCAAATGATTTGTGCTTCTTCAAGGTTAGTTGCTTCCTTTCTTTTTTTTCTCTTGAAAGAATGTGACAGTCTTTTCTGCACTTGGGAGGTACCCATTATTGTAGGGAGGATGGGCCAGCTTCACCCTTTTGATTAGAAATAATCTTGCAGCTTCAGATACAAATTTACACATGGCTGTTTATATCCATTTGTTCTTGTTAATTGAAGTATTTCTCCTACCCTCATGTTTCTTTGCTGATGTATTTCTAGAAGCCAATTAATCTCCTCTCGCCTTTTTTATGAAGATAAACAAAGCAAGCTTTTTTTGGTCTTCTCCCTTTCTCATTATTATCTCAGCAGTGCATTTTCTGTACCTGTTTCAGTTTGTTTTGGTCTTTCTGCAGGTGGAAGACTGGCACTGCATAAAGTATTCCAGATGTGATCTTGCTTTGTACAGTGGCACTAATACTTCCCTTCATGAACCAGGGATTGTGTTTTCCTTTCTCATAGCTGTAATAAATGGGTGGATCAGAGTTCTCCTATCATTAAAGAGTTAGTTCACAAGGTCACTCTTCTCCTTTCTTGTTTTCAGTGGATAAGCTCTTGGTGTGTTTTAGAAGTTTTATTACTGTGTAAATGTGTGATCTCTTTACTCTGCACTAGTAGATTATTACTCCAGTTCTTTACTCCAGAGCTTGATTATTCTTTTAATGTGTGATTTTCTGTTTCATCTGCTGCAGATTTGGAAGCTGAAATTGCACAGGAAGAAAGTGACTCACGTGGAATTTAACTCCCGATGTGAGTGGTTGTTGGCCACAGCGTCTGTGGATCAGACGGTCAAAATCTGGGACCTCAGAAACATCAAAAACAAAATGAATTTTCTTCATCTGCTTCCTCATGACAAACCCGTCAATGCAGGTGAGTTAAGGACGTCATTGCACGGACGTCTGCAGAGTCCAGTCAGGTCAGCTTTTATTGTTGTGGCAATGTTAGCTTTCGCTCAGATTTGAAGATGCACGGTAGCTAGTGTTAAAGCAAGGAAGGCACTGGGAACGTGTGGCCAGAGGCAGGGAGGTGGATAGGGCAACTGCAGCACAGTCTTAGACTTGCCATACAAACTGTGGCACTGTGCCTTGAGAGGTGAGTGTGGAAGCATCAGCAGCGACTGAGATTAGAAAACTGAATTTATTGGGGCAGTTCCTTTGGCAGAAGCAGAGCATGGGACTCAAACTTCTGTTTCTTGGGTGCGGTTTTACCAGTTCTTAGAAGTCCAAACTGCAGGTGTCCATCTCCAGCTTTTCCACTAACTTTCCCTTTGAACGAGCAAGTTCCTTTCTTTGCAATGTCTCTTTCTGTGATTTTACAATAACGATTCTTCCTATGTAACCCAGCGCTGTAGGTTTCAGCTTACTGATTGTAAGAGCTTTGAGTTTGTTTGAGACAGGTAAAGTCTTGTCTGTTGGGACACGTGGCTGTATTCACATCCCTATTAAAGAAACAGCAATGGGTTTCCAATCAGAGAAATGCGACTTTTATGTTTCTTGTCAATCACAGCATTGTGATCTTTTGTTTGCCTTATTGCCCCCCTCTCCTAGCTTACTTCAGCCCAACAGATGGTGCCAAGCTCCTGAGCACAGACCAGCGCAGCGAAATCAGGGTTTACTCATCTTCAGACTGGACCAAGCCACAGCACCTGATCCCGCACCCACACCGGCAGTTCCAGCACCTCACACCTATTAAGGTGAGTTAAGCCAGCGCAGCCTGAGAGGAGCATCACGCTTGGTGCTAGCAGCTGGCTGTACATCAGAAATGGTCCGATTCCTGGTCAGGATACTACATTGATGGGTGGGTGTTCACACTGCTGCAACTTCCAGCAGAGCACTGTTCTGAGGATACCCGTGTTCCTCAGGCTGTGGGTGGGATGTACAAACGGTTGCTCACGCTGCGGTTGTCTGGCGTGTGTCAGTATGAGCTCTGTCCCTTTCTCTTAACTCCCCATCACTCTGCTCTGTGACTAGGCAACGTGGCATCCTCGCTATGACCTCATTGTAGCAGGTCGCTACCCAGACCCTAAGTTCCCTGGGTACACGGTGAATGAGCTACGAACTGTTGATGTATTCGACGGAAACACGGGGGAGATGGTTTGTCAACTCCACGATCCAAATGCTTCTGGTATCATCTCGGTGAGTTGAGCACTGCAGCGAAAAGGACTGCTGCGTATTGAACCGCAGCTAAGAGATACGGGTTGGGGACAGAACAAGAGGAGCATCCTCTTTACTTGTGACGGACTCACACTCTCGCGGGGTTATGGCTGCCAGCTAAAGCTGCTGACTCGAGCAGGGCTGGTCCGTGGTCATCTGTGGCTTTTCTGTGATACTCGTTAGGGAACATTGGGTTTTCCAGATGGTTTGTTGCTGTTATATAAGCTGTGGTGCTCTTATGATGCTGTTATATAAGCAGTGATGCTCTTACAGACTCTGATTGCGTTTCCATTTTCAGCTCAATAAATTTAACCCTATGGGAGACACGCTGGCTTCTGGCATGGGTAAGTAAAGAGAACCTGGGGCACTAAGCACGGGTGGGTTCCAGTCCCAGAAAAGGGCAGGCTTGTTTCTCCAGACTAAAGCAAGTTGTGAGTGAGGGTTTCCCAAATTCCACTTGCTAGTAGTCCTTTATAATTTCCTACATTTGTAAAAGAGATCAAGACCTTCTTTTTAACCTTCCACCTTTGCAGTAAGAAAACAGGTTGCTAGTCATCTCCTGAGCCCATGAAGTCCGGAGGAGGGAGAAGCCTCCCCGCAGCAGGGAGCTGCTGCCATCTGCCGGCCATCTGCCAGTAGCAGAAAACGATGGGGCCGGGGTGGGGGGGGGAAGCCTTTTCCTGCTCGGCTGCACCCTCTCCCTTCGTTTAATTTATCGCATTTCCTAGGCTGTAGAGCCAAGATTACTCAGTTTTTCGCAGGCAGTATGAGATTAAGGGAGCTAGCTATAGATTTAGGTCTTAAACCTGTAACAGATTAGGAATTACTTGATGATGTTTCTTAATTAGATCAAATTTCCACGGCTGTGTGGAGATAGTCTGCAATAAATATCTTTGCATCCTCTGTACCTTGGAAATATCTTAGAACAGACAAAGCATTTTGAATTTCTGGCATTTAAGTGACATAGCCTAAGGTATTATATTTGATGTAGAGTTTCTGATGCACAGCGTTTAATTTTTCCTCTCAGGCTTTAATATTCTGATCTGGAGCCGGGAGGAGATGGTGGCCAAGAAGCAAGAACATCTTTTGAAAGCCATGACAGAACAGGGGATTGGAAGCTGGAGTTTGTCCAGACGTGGAGGGCAGAGGCAGGCAAACCCTGGAACAAGCAAGCTCAAAGCTAACTTACTGTCTTGGGAGCTGGAGGAGATGAGAACAAAAACCAACGATTCTAAATCACAGGGAAGGAAGAGAAAAGGGAAGGACCTAGAGAACTGATTTAGTATTTTGATCCTTTCTGGATCACAGGGTACAAATTCAGTGTTGGCAATGGGCAGTATAAGCCATGGAGGACATTAGACTTCTACTTTGTCCTTCCTCCCTAGATCTGATCTTGCTTCCTTGATTCCCTTTGCTTCCCCTTCCGGAAAGTTGTGTCAGTACTCAGTTCCTCCTCCAAGGGGAGTTACCACCCATTTTCTGAGGCAATAGGAAAACTTCAAAGATGTTCTCAGATCCTGCTGA